TTTTAATGAGTGATTTTTCCATGAGAATACCTTTCTACCTTTATTAAATGAGACAGTAGGAAAATATGACTTGGTTTCCACAGTTGACTTTTAAGCCAAGCTATCAGCAGCACATCTGTTCCACAAAGTTGGGAACATCATGTGTGATTGCCATGTGATTGTCTCCTTACAGCATTGCTTAGAACAGTCGCATTGAACCATGAGTGGCTGACACCTACAGACCACACTACTAGGGGCAGGGACTCTTCTAAGTGCTTTACGTTTATCAATTTTTGTTATAAATGTTTAAACATGTTCCCCTTCTCCCTGCTTTCCTTCTGCCATCATTCCCTTCCTGCCACTGGCATCCCATGGGACAGAACCTTTTAAGAAAAACAGAAGTCAGAAACRTGAGCAGCTGCTGAGAAGATGGTCCACTTAATTTATGGAGCTCTTCTTTGTTAAAGGGACACATGAAGAAAGGATCAGGAGTTCTGAGGTGGTGTTGGGAGGTGGAGAGGCCACAGCCCAGGAGGTGCCCCTGCACTGAGCGGCTGACCTCAGACACTGAGGAGGGTCTTCTGTGTGCCAGCTCAGGGCTGCTGCAGACAACATGGCAAGTTGGATGAGGAGACACGTTTTGCTGCAGATCCAGCAAGAGGATGGGAAATAGACATTGGATGAGAGCAGCTAGGGTGGAAGTAACCAATTCAGACCAGTGAATAGATGAGAGGTCTGGCTTTAGATTCGCAAAAGGAAAGGAGACACACCTGTGTTAAATAAATAGCTTCACCCCTAGAAGGATCAGTACCTCATATCATAGAGGGTGAGCAGTCTGCCATCTTGCCTCCTGCTGGGCGATTGCCTGCCTTATCTTTTGAATTTTGCATTTGTATATATCTGGGATTTGTTGTTGCTCTTTTGGTTTTGGAATTTTTTTGGTGCTGGTGTTTGAACCCAGGGCCTGGCACTTGCTGAGCACATGGTCTCCTGCTGAGCCACACCCCCAGCTCCAGGGTAGTGGACATACACTTATTCTGGGGTCCATCATGGCTTCATTACAGAAACTGTGGCATCTAATATCTGGCAGGCCTGGATTTGCATCTTAGCTGTTGGGTGGCCTTGAGTGGGCTCTTGACTGTGAGATGGTAGCAGTGGCCTCCGGAGGGGCCGCAGGAGGTAGTGTATGTATGTCAGTGTCTCCAACAGTGTCTGGGTCAGGGGCTAAAGAGAAGAGACCACAGAGGCGGCAGTGTCTTCCAGACCAGGGAAACCCAGAGATGAGATGGAGAAGACCTGCGGCAGTTAGGGTTAGAGCCTCTTGCCAGATGGCCACAGTTTATGTTTACTAAATGTGAACTGCTGAGGAGGGAGGGGGTGCTGGAAGTGTAAGGTGGGGTGGAGGTTCAACAGGAAGACATGTTTCGAAGTGTGTTACCTTCCTTACAAGGCCATGCAAAGGTTTCCAGAGATATGGCCTTGTCTATTTCTGAGGACAGGGATTCGTATGTATTTTATGGTTATGTATCCGTAAAACCACATGTTGTTCAGCTTCAATTATTAAAACTCCAGTTTTTCTTGATAGTAAACCCAAAGCATGTATAATGATGGTCTTTTAAAAACCTTATTGCTTATTATGAAAATTGAATCATCAAAAAGATGTTCCTTTTTGTTCTGATCAGTGTTGTTGAGCTTCATCTTTTTGATGAAGCTCAACAWTTTTTTTATGTTGTCACTGTTTATTTTGAAATAAGAAGTTTACTTAAGTTTTATAGTTATAAATGTAGAATCAACATTGTCAACAGAAAGACAATTTTTWAAATCATGTCTAAAACTTCCTGGGAAATGCCTATTTTTAAATTTCTAAAAGTAATATTGTCATTCTATTTCATAGTGTGTGTGTGTGKGGGGGGGTGAATGTGTATTGGTGTGGTGCTGGGGACGAAACCCTGGGACTCGTGTGTGCTGGGCAAGCACTGTACCACGGGGCTGCCCCTAGCCCTCCCCTTCTTTACTTTGACTAATACAATTCCAGAGAATGATCACTGGATGTGTTTTAATACTTTGTTTTTATTTCAAGGAGAGAAAAATTTCTAATGGCATATTTTCTTTAAAGAATGCTATGTTGCCTATTCATATATATATATATATATATATATAATATTATGTAAATACACATAAATTTCATAATCTATATAACAAATGTATGTGTATTTTATATATACATACTTATGTAGCCTTTAAGTAATGAGATATATACATGAATTTGCTTTATCATTTCTATCTTTGTCACTGTTTTTGCCACTGTRAACAAAAGACTCAACAATAACAACTTTAGAGGAGGGAAATTTTATTTGGCTCATGGTTTCAGAGGTCCAATCCATAGATGGTCCACTGCATTCCTCTGGACCCAGGACAAGCCAGCACACCATGGCGGTAGGGTATGGAGGAGGCAAATAGGTCAGGACATGACAATCAGGAAGCAGAGAGCTGCCTGCACCAGGGACAAGTTATAAACCTCAGAGGCACACTCCAGGTGACCTGTCTCCTCCAACCACACCCTACCTGCCAGTAGTTACCACCCAGTTAATCCCTATCAGAGGATTAGTGCACTGATTAGGCTAAGACTCTCATAACCCAGTCTTTTTACATCTAAACATTCTTGAATTTCTTGCTTTATTGGATACCTAATATGTTTATAATATATATTATATATTTTGTGGACACCTAATAACAATGTCTAATAAAAAAGTATGTAAAAGAAATACTAAAATATTCTACTTATTTGATCTGAAGAAATATCAGGGGTTTACAAAAGTGTGTTGAATTTCTTTTGACTTATAATTGTAATATTTTATGAACTCTGTTTCTCATGGATATTTGTATTTTAAGATAACATTAGGGTCTGTAACAACCATTAAACTAAGACAAATTGCAACTTGCTTCACCTGGTGGGAATAAAATAAACTCGAGACATTCAGATATTCATTRTTTATGTCTGTCTTATAAAGTAAGTGAATGTTATTAAAGTAAGACTAGTTTGTCCCTCTTCATGTTATGTACACATTGTTTTTAAAACTGAGTCTTATCTATTGCTATCATTTGAACAGGTGTCTCAATGCATGTACCTACTGCAAAACTAAACACGCCAGAGGAAATTTGGCCAGTTATCCCATTGATGAACTAGTAGATAGAGCCAAACAGTCTTTTCAAGGTAAGTGTTTCTAGAATTGTGTGTGACATTAGTCTTCTTATTGAAACAGTCAGTATTTTAAGTATTATTCACTTTAGATACCTGCTGCTTCAGCTTTCTGAAGTTGACAAATACTGCGGCTTAACTAATAGATGTTGTCAGATTTAACCACTTAGGTTAAATCTTATATTTTTCTGCTTTACTGTTTTCTTTTTACTCCAAGGTAAATGTCACATTTCAGAGCCTTTATACCCCACCTCTAGTCTCCATGGAAAAGAAAAAAAAAGTTAAATTCTTCAGCCTCTGAGATCTGAGAGAAATACTCGGATTCCCCCCCCCCCTTTTTTTTGGTGATTTTCTTGACAATTTAGGAAACAGAGCCAGTAGGGTGTCCAGGAGTCTCTGAAGGAAAACGGAGGTTGCCCATCCAGGGACAGAGGAGGCCACTGTTGTTCTCTGGGGGACTGTTGGTTCAGGGAAGAACGGTCCTGACGGGCYGATCTGAGGGACAGAGTGCTCTTGAGTTGTCCCTTGCTGGCAAGTGTGATTGGCTGGTATCTCTGAGCGTGGAGGGAGACTTATCTTTAACATGAGTAACTGTGGTATTGACACACAACTGCTTAGACATGAACTTCCTCTTCTGTCCTTGTTTGTAATGTGTATGTGTGGAACAGTGGTGTTTTGTCATCCTACATCAGCTAGTCTATTGTCTCATAATCTTGTGGGCTGATAGTTATTGGCAATGTGCTTTTCCTTTGAGCAAGTGGCTTGGAAGGCTGCTTTCAGTACCTCATACCCTGTATCTCAGAAGTGTGCATTCCAACCCCTTTTCTGTAAAGTCGAGTCTAGCCAAAGCTTTTATCAACACGAATTTGGAATGTTTCTTTTAGTACAGAGAAAGAGACCCTTCGTTGATTTATTGACTCCTCCCAACATTTTTTTTTCTGATTTTATATCCTTATTCTTACCTTGTGTTCATACTGAGCTGATTTTGAATAGAAACAGGAGACACGGTGAGTCTCATTGCCAGTCAGAGGAAGGCCRGGGTGAGTGTCTTCTCTGCAGCATGAAGACTTGAAGGATTTTTCAGAAGGGGCAAGAATTCACCTAGAAACCTAATTTATGCATCTGGTATTCTTGCCAATGTTCTTATCTACTGCTACTATTCCATGTATCTGTCAGTTTATGAGGATATTAAACATAGGTGATTTATCTACTAACTACAAATTAGAAGGCATACAAATTAGTACTTTTTCAACATTGTGTGTTTTCAAGTGCAACCACATATAATTTTTAGAAACTTTCTACTTTATCGTACTTGAAAATTTAATTGATAAACCTGATTGGCCAAATTGTTATATTGTTATATGTGAGAATATGGAACAACAAATCCCACTATGTAGAACTGTAACATACCACTAAAAGGGAAAAAAATGAAAAAATTCCAGAAAAAAATACACCATGAGTTTTGAAAATTATGATTCAAATTCAGTGTTCACAAGTAAAGTTTTGTTAGAACACACATACAAAGAAAAATATAACCTGCATAATGGTGGTCTATGAGAGACATTATTTTCTTCATTCCCTGGTATCTATCCTTACTTGTAACTGAAGCTAACATTTGATATGATGGTGACTTTTTGTGGACACAGTTATGTTTTATATATATGATGGGGGAAAAAAGGAAACATCGTTGCTTTGACCCAGTTGGAGAATTCTCCTAAAGCCATCCAATGTAACCCTCTGTTTCTTTAGCACTGTCCTCTGGGCAACAGAGGTATACTGTGTTTCTTTAGGAGATGTCAGTTACGAGTTCAGGTTTTCGTGTTCAAGTGAGTTAAGGCGMGTGATTCAATGAACTTGCCAAAAGTTAGCAGTGGTGTATTGTACTACACATGAGACTGTTGAAATACCCTAAGAGTGACATGAGTGATGACCATAAAATGACAGCTTTCTCGGTTACTTCTAAAATATGTTGAATAGAAACTTCTCTGTGTATAAACTAGGTAGTATGACAGTTACCCTTCATTTTCTAAATTTGGGAAGTGCAAGTTCATGATAAGGATGGGCTTATCCCTTACCACTGTAGGAAACATCAGTCTATTAGCTCACATTTTAAAGATACTGAGTTGCTAGCATTATCCTTCCTTCCTCCCTCCCTCCCTTCCCTCCCTCTTTTCCCTCCTTTCCTTCCTTCCTTTCCTTCTTTCCTTCCTTCTTTCCTCCCTCCCTCCCTTCCTTC